CATCTCCCCGAGGCTCAGCCACCCACCCGGCCCGACCCTTCTCTCACGGGGAAGGAGCAGCCGCTGCCTTTCAGCCGTGAATTGCTGCCCCCTCCCTCCGCTCTCCAAGAGACGATCCACTTGGTTCCCGACCAGAGCAAAGGTTTGGTACGTGACTCGGATGTTCAAAGGAGTCGATCAGCTAGCCACTAGCCACCCTAGAAGAAATACATATTGCTCCATACAAAGCGGTTCATAGAGCATCCCCAGCTTCTTGGGACTAGACTAGCCAAGCTAAAGCTAGCACTTTCGTGGGAGACACAAATCACTCAGCTGTTGGGGCATACGCTCCCTTGGGCTTTCAGCACCAGCTAGGCCAGAGAGCCTTCTTCACGGGTATTCTTCAAGACAGAAGTAATTTAAACTCCCAAACGCAACTCATCCTACAGGATCTATTTTCTGAGCAGTGTGGGAAGGTACCGGCCTGCACAACCATTTATTAGCACAAATAGGAGTGTATGTTTAACTCCATGGAACGGGTAGAACAAAGGATTATTAAATAAAATTCCGATTAGTTCTGCTGAAAGCAAAATACCAGCTGGAGCCTGGGGTAAAGCAGGCATGCTATCAGCAAACATGTGCTGCCAGTGCATCTGCACACACACACACACACCAGCTCTGACCACGGGGGAGCCTCCGACTGGAACAGCAGAACCAAAGCGTCCCCATCGTGCTCTGTGCTCCGATAGCTCAGGTCCTGCCCTCCATTTGGCAAAGCCTTTGGGCCTGACAGCGCCAGTCGTGGCTGCACAACGGGAACGAGAGCAACGAAACCTGAGTTTTCTGACTTGATGCCCTCCTACCAGCAGCCGTGCTTTGTTGGCTTTCCAAGTGGGAACGCTGCCACTCAACACAGCTATTGCAGAGTCCCACCGCCTGGAAACACGTGCACGGCACATTGGCTCTACCTACAAGGGGACGGCGCCCACAAGCCAGCCTGCCTAACTGCAGCCATATTCATTAACAGCCCATCGTTTAGATCCTACTGCAAAAGTTAATGAAGCCACTTTGCGAGAGGGCAGCCTCCCTGAGCAGAAGATAAATAATGTATATAAAAGGGGGCTGGGAGGGAACTGGCGCATCCTTGCAAGGTCATGCTAGAATGCATCAGTGGCTGGCTGAAGCTGGGCTCCTCTGGTAAGAAGCCCGGAGCTATTTATGACTCATGTAATTAATTAATGCCAACGGGCGTTCTGCTGCAGGCACGTGGGAGACCAAAGGGAAATACGAAGCGAGCAGGTTAGGAAATGTAGTGGAGGTGGGGGAGAAGGATGACATTTCTTGCGGTAAGACATGCTTTGAAGTAATTATCAACAGTCCAAACAGCCAGCAGCTCTTTTGGCTACATCAGTACAAAATCAATTAGGAGCTTTAAAAATGCATCGGCTCGTATTTCAAAGAGCAGCAAGAATAAGAAGTAGCCATCGGAGGTAGGACAGTTGCATTTCTAAGCGCCGCACACCACCAGACCCACAGACCCTCGGACCCTGCAAGTGCAGTCCACAAATGGCGTGACCAGTAGAGGGAGCATCGTTAATGCCTTCCAAATCGTGAATGTTTTTGGATGAGGAGCATTAAGGAAGACTGAGGGTTTGATTTTACGTCTCTCTAAAGTCTGAGGATGCGTTTAACACATGCAAGAAAAAGGCGCAAAGGGCAAAGTGAAACGCAGGCATATGCCTTGCAAGCCGAGTCCCTGCAGGCACTCGGGGCTCCCGACGTGTACCGCCTTCCATTTCTGGAACCTAGGTCTCAGACACCGGGAGCTAACCAAAACTCGCAGATCGCATTAAGAAAGGGACCACGTCTGTGGTTTTCCTGCTTCACTTTGCAATACCGCAGTCTCACACCGAACGCTCAACATGTGGCGATGCTGAGTCATGACACTGCGCTTGCACGGACCTTTTGAGGACAATGAGAGCTTAACCTAATTTTGTCCCTTTGTTTGCCCTCTGCGCAGAGGAGATCAATCAGTTCCGCTCCCTGCCTTCAGATCCCCATGCATCCAGTACCTAATACATTATACAGCAAAACCATAAACACAAATAAAACGCACCCTTTCCCTCCTCTGGTGCCCTAAAGTCCTCCTGGGTTGTCCAACTCCCACCCAGCCTGCATACTCTCTCATGTCTCTTTGTTGCCAGAATATCTTCTATCAGTTCCCAAATGTATTCACGCATTGTTCCGTCTCCCTCTTATCATAGCTGCCTGCAACAAATCCCCTCACACAATGAGGATTGCAAATTTGCTTACAACCCAGTGTTGTTTTCTATTTCTGCTTCTCTGTGCTTGTCTCTTCTCCCTGGACGCATGCAGAGGCCAAGCACCACAGCATCAGCCTGACGCTGCCTTCTATCAGTTCCCAAATGTATTCACGCATTGTTCCGTCTCCCTCTTATCATAGCTGCCTGCAACAAATCCCCTCACACAATGAGGATTGCAAATTTGCTTACAACCCAGTGTTGTTTTCTATTTCTGCTTCTCTGTGCTTGTCTCTTCTCCCTGGACGCATGCAGAGGCCAAGCACCACAGCATCAGCCTGACGCTGCCATTTGGATGATTCCTCCAGCCTCAACCCTGGCGGGCAAAGCCTGGGAGGCTACAGAATGCTCCCCTTCGAGCCTTACCCACCTCCACGGTCTGGGGGATCTTGCTTCCTACCCTCTGATCACTGCCAAAGCCCTCAGATCCTGGCTGGCGGGACTCCCTACCGCTGTTATTTTTCTGGAGCAAAGCCACGCGAATCAATAGCAGGGATTAAAAAAAAGAAGATAAGAGTAAGTGAAATGGCAGTCGGGTTTTCATTTCATAAATATATATGAGTGAGTAGAACAAGAGCAACAAAGTACTCCTTTCTGGTGGGCTGCAAATCGACACGAGCCTGAGTCTCCAGGGTAAAACACGAGCGAAGTAAACGACAACACGAACACCCACTTAGCATTCGTGCTACATACTCCTGATCTGAGCCTCAGCAGCTTTAAGAACGCTTCTGTTAAATACTGTAATGCTCCCAATTACGAGTGATCTGGATTATTTATTTTCTAAACAGATTCCGCCTCCCCCCCACCCCGGGAGATCTCATAAGCCTAAGACAAAAGCACTCTTGAAGAGGTGTTTCAACCTCTTTTGGCTATACAATATCCACAGCTGGCTCGATTTCCCTAACTGTTTCATACTGACCTTGAGGATATTTCGGCCATTAAACGACTCCCGTTCCTTGAAAGATGATTTACCAGTCATTGCATTGTTTCGCTCTTCAGCTGTAAAGAGAAAAGCCACCGCCAGAATGAGCTTCAGATGGGAGAACTGTGTGTGCTGTACTTCA